CCGGGCCGGCGACCTCGCGGAGAGCCACGTCCTCTACGAGGCCTATCTCGACCAGCTCATCGAGCGCGGCGAGCGCGACGCGGACGGCGTCATGGCGGAGCTCGGCCGCCTGCTCGCCTTCGAGGCCGACAAGGCCGACGCGGGGCGGATTTACTTGGAGGCCGCGGCGAAGCTGCTGGTCGAGGACGCCGAGGACGCCTTGCGGGGCGACCCCGGCGCGACCCCGGCCGCCCACGCGGCGACGTTGCGGGCCGCGGGGATCCTCCTCGACGTCGCGCTTGCCCGGGAGCAGGCCCAGGACGTCGAGGCGGCCCTGGAGTCCTACAAGGCCGCCGTCGCCCAACTTCGCAAGGGCGGGTTGTACGGGATGAGCGCGTGGGTCCTAACCCGCTATGCGGATCTCCTGTCCACCCTGCAGTTTGTCGACCAGGCGATCGCGCACTACAGCGAGGCGATGGAGCTTTTATGGCATCCGCCGAGCCCGTCCGAGGCGGGCCCGCCGTGCGACTTCGCGAGCACCTTGGACCCGGGCCTCTCCTCTTCCTCCTCCTCGTCCTCGTCGGCCGTTCCCACGCCTTTTAGGCCTCAGCTGGGGTGTTGTCAGCGGCTGGTGGAGCTTCATCCCGCAGAGGTGGAGGGGCGGCTGGGGTTTTGCCTTCAGAGCTACGTCGGGGATCACCGTCGCGCCGTCGGGCATTACCGCCACGCCCTGAAGACGATCCCGAAGATCGCGCATTTAAAAGAGCTCGGGTTGGGCTGCTGCGCGGTGAGCGGCTCCGCCCGGCGGCGCCCCCACGGGGGGATGAAATCGCTCAACCCGACGCTGCTTTCGGAGATGTACGTCGGGCTGCCGACGCTGCGGTGGATGTTGATGAATTACATCGCCTGCTGTGAGCGGCTCGGGGAGTGGAAGGAGGCGTTGTCCGCGCAGAATCAGCTTCTCGAGGTGGAGTGGGTGAGCGCGGTCGACATGTCGGCCTCCTACCTCAAGCTCATCGAGCTCGTCGACAAGCTGGGGGATGTCCGGAAGAAGTTCCACCTCTGCTTTCTTCTCTTTTTCTTCCTGAAGGAGGACGTCTCGGCGGAGTTCCGCGTGCAGGTGGCGACGAGCTTCGTGGAGTGCTGCTATTTGGTCGGGAACGCCAGCATGGGGTCGATCCTGCTGCACGCGGTGCAGGAGGTGAAGGCCTCGAACGACCCCTCCGTGCTGATCGCCTATGCCTTGAATTTGCGCAACCTCACCGCGGACGAGCGCCGCCGCGTCGAGGCGATCGCGGGCCTCAAAGTGGACGTCCGGGCGATCCTGCAGATCTTCCGCCGGGCGGCCCAGCTGATCACCACCCAGCGCGTCGTCGACGCGGCGGATCGCGCGGCCGGGGCCGAGCCCGACCGCGCCCACTTCGAGCTCCTCGCCCTCATCGCCCTCAGCCGCGGCGCCTTCTTCTT